CATATCACAAAGGTCAAAGTCACTTGCCAACCTATAAAAGTAGCTAACTAACTAATGCATACTCAATCACCATTCAATCATTCATTCATTAACCATTCTCCACCCGCAGCAACACCGTTACGAAATCCTGGCATTTTCCGGTCCGTTCGAACACTCGCATTTTTAGATGTTTTTCAGCAGACTTATAAACATATGCAGCTGCAGCTGTATTCAGTGTTCTGATTAAAAATTTCTATTAGCCCAGTATCGGAATGCCCAGGATTTACCTTACACAAACTTCGCCCTATTTTGACTCTTTCAACGAAAATGTAACATATAATTTTCTGAATCACATACATAACTCAGCTTGATCAATTCATCCGATTATCCGCAAATAAGATGGAGAAGTGAATCTCGCTATGTTTTTTTTTGTCACATAATATATCAAATAATGATTTATGGTTTTTTGTTAGAAATGGCGTAAAGAACAACTGCGTCACTATGTATGTATATAACTAGACGTCTTTGACACACATACAAAGGGCACGCCACCAGTCTAGTTTATTAACTTTTAAGGTCGCGATATTTTTACTGACAAGCACTTCAGAAGTGGTGTTGTAGAGGCTTTTGCAGACCTGGTTAGCTCACGTGGTAGGCATTTTGAATAACAGCAACTGAAGATAACTAGTTTGACTGCGTATGTCTCCGTAACATCGAAGAACCCACACAGACTGTTCAGGCAATTTTGATGATTCCAGTAGAGGTTTCAACAGCGTATGTTATAATAAATTTGCAAATATAACAAACTTGATCCGATTGTCCTGGTCACCATTTGGCTCGGCATCCACTACCACTGATCCGCGAGCACTGCCAAAGTCAAAAATACAAGATAATGATCCGCCCAAGTTCGGCAAATTTTCCAGCTCGACATTCAGGAACGATGCACTCGTTATCTGTATTTTGTTCGGTTCCACTCTGCTTATTCTAAAAACAAAAAAAAAGATCACTCTTGACAAAAATCAGATACCCGTCCAAGAAGTAAAATTATAATTTCTGAGCCTGCTCGTGTTAACTTGTTCATAAATTATAATGTTTAAAAGTTAACAAAAATAAGAGAAAACTCATACGCAGGACATCTTCCATTCTGATACGTAAGCCAGTCGTGTGCAGTGGATGGTATGGATTTCGTGCAATTACTCTCCGGAACACAAGCATTATTTAAAACACACCAACCACAGTACGGATCACGCTGATCCAAACAGCTGCGGCAGTCCCCTGATCCACCACATTGGCGTACTCGAATTTTTACAACCTGAACTTGGAGCTACAGCAGTTCATCTGGAAATTAATGAGGAATTTTTCAAAAAGTCGGACCATAACGACAATTTCCGAGACCAAAATCAACTAACAGTGGAGAGCAAGATGCAGTCACACGCACAACGCAATAAATCTTGGTTATCCTGGGCGGTAACTCAATTACGATGCTGGTGCAGCTACTCAGAAAAGATCTTTTCATTGTATGCAATGCTAATGCCCGCTTCAACAAACCTTCTTCGGTGTAAGCGCATACACATGATCACCAGTACCATCGAGTTCCAGATCTTGCAGAATTGGTTTCCCGTCACCGATTT